AAAGCAACAACAACAAAAAAAAACAACAGAAGGATGTAAAAGAAAAGAAGAATGGCGCATGAAAAAGGGAATATAGATGCTTAGAATATTTATATGTCATTAATTAAACATAAAACACAATAAAACATGAAAATAATAGGGCTAAAGTCAATTAGCAGTGAAACCAATTAGTGCAGGTAGACATATACACCGTTTTTTTCCGCTAATTGTCTTTTTTTACTGCCCATCTTATTAACACCATAAATAAAATTCCCCCGATTAACAATAATGAAGCACATACATATTTGCTAAGCAAAAATTACATAGTAAAGAAGGCCTCGATATTACTAAAAACAGATTGCTAAATCAAGCATCAAAGAAACAACTCAATAATGGTTTGCCTTATAAATTTAAGACAGTAACATATATGTTTTTGAATATCTCTATGATCCCTATACGCCTTGCTCATACGACTGCTATTGACTGGAACACTAGCGCAGCTTTGCACTCACAAGTCGCGGCTTGAGAATAAATTTAGGCGGATTAAACAAAGGTTTTTTACTCTCACGATAATAAACATGGTTGCTGCGTGAGTAACGACGATTGATTATTCGTTACAAAAAATGTTAACTGAAATTCATAGAAATTTGCTAAGTTTGTATTTTCCTTCTTGCCAAGTTCATTAAGCACGGCTTAAAATAAATTGAAATGTTCCAAAAGCTATGCGCAACTAACCCTGTCCAATTTATTGCGTTGTAAAAAAGTAGAATCGTTTTTGCTGACGCCAGTTGTTCGGCACTTCAATTTTTATATTGGTTTCATTTATTTCTAATAACCGGATCTGACACCTAGGGGAAAAAAATATTTCCGATAACCAATTTGAAAAAAACGAAAAGAAATATATTAATTCCAACTGATGAGTTCTTGAGCTAACAGAAAACATTAACTCCAAGAATACGATACATAACACGGAACATATTTTAGAAACTGAAGAGTACAAAATTTAGTCTAAATTCCTTTTTGCACATCAGCATGATTACGTTATACACGCTTTGCAAAACGAAAATGTAAACGAGGAGCCTGGAAACGAGTTTGCACGAAAGCGAGGTCGGTCAGCCCTCGTTTGTTTACAGCAAGAGCACGAAGCACTGTGTTCTTGTAATATTTCGCCAGCATTTTTGCTTAGTTTTGTGTGGTTTTCAATGCCTTCGCACTGCTGTGTGCCTGAGTGCACTTTCAAGGGCCACCGGGATGCAGAAGGAAATAAAATTTCTTTCTTTAACTTTCCAAAGGATGCAATTTTACGTAAGAAATGGATTCACTTGATACGAAGAGTCCCAGGAAAGGATTTTCAACTGACTAGTCGCACTAAAGTCTGTTCGAGACATTTTAAAACCACGGACATGAAGAAATCGCTTAATGGAATTGTTAAACTAAAGCCAGGAAGCATTCCATCAAAATTTGCGTGGTCTGTTCAGTCTCCACGAAAGAGAAAGTCGCCAACTAATCGTCRAACACCTCCACATCCCTCAACAGCCATCGAACCAGATCTAGAAGCTTCGACTAGCGAGTCTGTGGATCATATTTGTGAGCCCACAGTAGAAGAATTGCTTATTGAAGCCAAAATAGACAAAGAAAAATTAGAAAAGCAAATATCGGACATCCAAAGTCAGTTTATCGAACTTCAAATCGAAAATCGCCGACTGCTAGAAACCAACAAGAAGATAATGGCTGAACTCCAGTCAGAGCGTGGTGATGCTCTGGAGACTGTGTTTTACCGTGAAGCTGAGAAAGAGGAACTGGAAAAGAAATGCCAGCTGCTCGAGAACAAGTTAAGCGATGCAGAAACCAAGCTTTTTAAGCTAGATAATTTCAAGTCAGATGAAAACATAGCTTTTTATACAGGTTTACCTAACTATAAGACATTCTTGGCAATATTTAAGTTTTTGAACACTGGAGACAAAGGGGAAAATGTGAGGTATTACTCAACTAAGAACAAGGATGTTACTGCTGACTTCTATGAAAACCAGGAAGATGAAGAGGAGGATSAGTTATCTGAAAACACTACGAAAACAAAATCTGGCAGACCAAGAAAACTGACAGTCATTGATGAATTTTTCCTTGCACTGTGTAGACTGAGAAGGGGATTTGCTGAACTGCATTTAGCTCACCTTTTTGGAGTCTCCCAGTCAACAGTCAGTAGATTGTTTGGAACATATATAAATTATATGTATTTAAAGTTTGCACAAATTAATATTTGGCCATCCAGGGAAATTGTAAATAAACAAATTCCAGAAATCTTTAAGGAGAAGTACCCTAAGACAAGGGTCATCATTGACTGTACTGAAATCCGTTGTCAAATGCCAAGTGGACTGCTGCTTAACTCTGAACTATTTAGTTCTTACAAGAATCATGTTACCTTCAAAGCTCTGATTGGTATTGCGCCAAATGGTGCCATCACGTTCATCAGTCAACTTTACACAGGAAGCATATCAGATCGAGAGATTGTTACAAGAAGTGGGCTTTTGGATTTAAAGTTTGATGATGGAGATTCAGTGATGGCAGATAAGGGTTTCACTATTGGTGATATTCTTCCCTTAGGAGTGACCATTAACTACCCCCCATTTCTTGGAGAAGAGGCTCAAATGTCAAAGGAAGATGTAATTGAAACCCAGCAAATTGCTAGTGTGCGCATCCATATAGAGAGGGCAATTAACTTGATCAAGAACTACCACATTTGGGATGGCGAAGTACCACTGAGTTTAATAGGACTGGTTAATCAAATGTGGACTGTGTGTGCATTCCTGTGTAATGCCCGTAATCCTCTTATTTCAGTCTAGTAGACTGTGTTTCATAATCAAGAAAGAGTAGGGTATAGTTTATACATCAAATTTCCAATGTAGACATATGTGCCAAATGCATCACAAAYTGATGACAGGTTGTCTTCTTTGGTGGTAATTACACTTGATATATGTTCAATTTGATGTATAAACTACTGTAGGCCTAAAGTGTAATAACATTGATTATAATACAAAAATATTTTAGCCAATAGTGTCAGTCACAATATGTGTGAAATAGATATCACTTTAAATGTACTGATCTGCTAGGTAATCAACACAAAATCATGAGATAACTATTCACTTTTGCCAATGACACCAGTGAGTGTACCAATGTCAAGTAAACTAGTCTTTCATTTTATTTAGCTAAATAGAAATGATGACGATAATAACTACTAATTGTGATACTTTATTAAAGTCCAGATGCAAAAAGAAACAAACAAATTACTATTATGAACTTACAATGAAATAATGTAATTATGAGGTATTGATACTTATTGTATCCCATTTAAGTTCATAGAATACGAAACAGTCATGCTATTACAGTTGCATATTGTTGGGATTACAGCATCCTAGTTTCTTTCATTCCTTTGCATTTCCTTTCATTTCTTTGGTCCCCATTTGGGCTATTCTTCAAGTATCATAATTTGAACAGTAAATTAAAATTGAAGTAAAACTAATTCATAATTGGAGTAATAAACCATTGACAATATGAAAGCCCTTGAAATGTTAAATTGATTTTAAATATTTGAACAATACTGAAATGTCCAATTACAGTCCTAATCATTTCTTAATTTGCAAAATTCTTCAGCTGCTGTTTTAATAAACTTGTTAAAAAAGTACCCTGTCATTTTGTCTTTAACTGTGTCCCAGAACTGATCATTGAATGGGATTCTTTGAATGCTCATTCCTACATTAGTATATATGACAAAGTCACACCACTTCACCTTGCTTACTCCCATTTGTCCTTGCACCTGGTAATGATATTCATGGTTCTCCTTGAGCCTTGGCTTCCCATCAACTTCCTCACAACAGAAAGTTTTGTCTGAACATGCCTCCAGGGGAGTCACATGGAATTTTGTGTGGGGGCACTTGATCTCTACTAAACCATGCTGATCTCCACAAGTTACTTCAATTACTTTGCC